GGGGCCGGGTGAGGCAGGGATCCAGGGGGCCAGGGGAGTGGGCAGCGCCAGCAGGGGTCTTCCCCATGCTCCGCTTGCCCCTCCAGCTCCTCCAACCCCCTACTTACCAGCACTGGAGCCCGGGTCCAGCTTCCTTCAGCTGGCACGCTGTCTTGCCCTGCACAGGCAAGCAGCGCGCTTCAGCACCAGGACGAGGGCCAGCCATAGTGATGCTCTGGCTGCTACCAAAGCATCTCTGGAGGACCCAGCCTCCAGTTGCCTCAGAGCATGGTCCGGAACTGTGCCCTGCCCTGCTTTTTTTTCACTCCATTTTTTTTGACCCCTGGATATCCAGGGGTCTAATTTTGCCCTCACGCTGCAAATTTGCAGTGCAGGGAACCTTTTCCCATTCCCTCACGTGCCTCTTGCAGCATCTCAAAAAGCTTTGAGATGCTGCAAGAGGCACGTGCACGCTCGTCTGGATGTACCCATTGGGGTCAGGACTGAATGAAATTTGGCAGCAATGGTCAAACCCATATAAGGATCCACATAAAGTCAAGCTGATTTTGTTAAACTGTAAAAAACCGGCACCTTCAATTAAACATGTGCAACTTTGTATGTAAACTAAGCTTAATTCTGTTAAATCTGTGTTCCCACTCACCTATGAGTCAACTCCACCCACCTGACACAATTTTAAGGTATTTAATAGCTCATAGACTAGATACTGTTTACTTTTTCATATTAGGTGAAGGAACATGAGACCGTACGCTGTATTTTTAAATTATCTTTTGCCCAGTCTAGACAAATCTTTGGGTGAAATGATAAAACTATTTAGGAAACTTTCAAGTACTGTACTTGGGGTTTCCTTGGGTTTGATAAACAAGCATTTTCTCACACAAAAACAAACTGTAGGAATGTACCAGTTTTTATTTAACTTTCCTTAGAAAACATTTTTCAAGTCCAGGATAGAATTTTTGGTTAGAAAGAGAGAGGTGGGTATATCTGTCTGGCATAAGAGAGCATCATGCTGAAACACACTGCATTCACTCCTCCAGTGCTGGCTTCTAAACTAGAGACACTGTAGCTTTATCAGTTCTACTGGAAGAGAGTTTATTGGTATGTACACACACAGTAGTGCAGGGGCAGGCAATTGTTTCACCTGGTGGGAGGCCAGCATCAGCAGCAGGAGGTGTGAGGCCTCAGGGCACTTGTGGCCCATAGCAGACAGAGCCCCTGTTGCGCCTGGCACAAGCCTTGCACTGCTGCCTGCCCACTCGCCACCACTTCCCCTCCCTGCCTGCCGCCACTCCCTTACTCCTGCTGCTTCTCTACCTTCCTGCCCACCACTGCTGCTCCCTCCCCACCTGCAACCACTGCCTTCTCCTGCCGCTTCCCGCCACTCCCCTCCCCCGCCACTCTGGCACCATGCGGTTCCCGGCTGCATGGCGGGGACCAAAGAATGCAGCAGGAGCCAGCCTGGTCTGGCCAGTACCTCACACAGCCAGCTGGGAACTGCGGGGGCTGAGATGGGTTGAGTTTGCTCCTGCTGCATTCTGCGGTCTTGGCCATGCAACCAGGAACCAGGTGGTGCCAGAGTGGCAGACTGGCAGGCAGAGGCTGGGGAGAAGCAGCAGCAGACAGGAAGGTGAGAAAATGGTGGTGGCAGTAGCGGCAGGTGGGTGGGAAGTGGCAGTGAGCAGGCAGGTGGGAGTGCAGCAACACTTGGGTGGGAGTGCATGGCCCACACCGGTGCCCTGAGGCCAGGGCAGGCTGGCAAGAGCACAGAGCCCAGGCTGGCAGGGGCTGTATAGAACTGGGCTGCCCATCCCAGCTCCATAAAGCCCCCTCAGCCTCAGGCTCCACGCTCCTGCCACCCCAACCTGGGCCCTCGCGGCCCTTGCCCCAGAGCACCAGCGCAGGCCCTGCGCTCCCACCCAC